TGTTATATCCCTTACAACAATAGAAACACACTGATACACATCATACATGTACAGTAATTCTGATATTTACATATACAACACGTGAATATCTGTTTACACATTATTTACAGAGAGGTGATGAGAATTGCCTTGGAAATCACAAGCCATTTAAGTCTTACTTCTGTAATGGTAAGAATCATAGCCCGATTAAAAAAAAGTTTTACAAAATCCTTTAACAAAATGCAATATAATAAAAGACAGCCAACATGGATTCATTAAATGGAAATCTTGTTTTACTAATCTGTTAGCAATTAAAGTTCTAAAAGTTACCTGGATGATTAAAAGGGTATAATTTGGTTTTCGTAAGATCATAGATGATCAGTTAAGAAAACCACATCAGTATGGATTGGGGAAAGACTATCAATTGGATTGTTGAGTAGCTAGCTGAGATAAAGCAAAACATTATTAAAGGAATCCAGTCAAAATAAACCTAAGTATTAGAGGTGTGCATCAGGAGTCAATGCTTAGGTTTTTGATCTTTCTTATTTAATCATATTCACAAAAGCATCACTTGTAAATGAGTAATGTTTCCTGATGAAGCCAAACTGTTTGGTATTTAACTATATTGAAGATGTTAAGATACTCCAGAATGATAATGACCAATCAGTAAGTTGGACAAATAGCCGACAAATGGCCGTCAATTATAGTAAGTGCAAGATAATGCATTTGGATTCTCATAATTCTGGTCATATATTTAACATAGATGGGAACACAATCAATAGCATGACTGAAAAAAAGAATCTTGTCATAGTGGTAGATAAGTCACTTAAACCATTGAAGCAATGCTCTTTTGCTAGTAGTAAAGCTAATAGAAATTTGGGTTTTTATTTTAAACATTTTGATTACAAATAAGAGGTAATTTTCTAAATACAAATCATGAGTCAGGCCTCACATGGAATATTGTGTGCATTTTTTTGTTTTCTTGTCCAAGAAAGGATATTGACTATTAGGGTAAAGTTCTGAGGGAGGCTACTAGCATGATTCCAGAGATGAAAAGATTTTATAGAGATAAGTTAAGATCTCTTAACTTATTTTCTTTTATGAAAAGAAAGGTAAGAGTGTTCTTAAGTTTAGAAATTTTAAATATAATAAAGCAAAACAGATATGAGTTTAAGACTTTTAAACAGCAAACCAGGCTCAGTTATGACAGTTTTATTTTTCTAACAGGTTGATCGACTTAACAAACGAGCTGCTATCAGCAGTGGTAGAGGACAGCACTGTACAGGAGTTTAAGAGGCAAATATATAACTTCTTCAAATGGATAGTGATTTTAAGTTTTTACTCTTTCCAACAGTGTGTGTTCAAGGATAACTCTGAAAAACCAAATGGTCCCTTGTTGTCCATAGGTTGTATGTTAATATGATGATGACTGTCATATTACTGTTCAAATTACCAACCCATAATATTAACACATATCTAATAACAAAGGGAAAAAACAATGCAATTAACTACAAGTAATAAGAATAACCTGATTGTACTGCTAAGAAAATTACAATAAACAGCAATTCCTATTATCAAATAAGCTGCTATTTTCAACTGAACTTTTGATCATGAAAATAAAGCATGCGACTCAAAATGTATCAAAAAATAACAATAATTACCTAACACAGTTAGGTGTCAGAGGGTTTTTACACAGTTGCACCTGGCATGATATCATGGTACATGCATTTTTATACTAAAACAAATGTCCTTAACACTGGCAAGTAAACAAGTGGATTAAATATGTATTGGTAGAAAAGTTGAATTTTGACACTGTTTTCAGGCAAAAAAACAAGTTTGATGTCATATGACAGTGTTAACTGATAAATATTTGCTTTACAAATACAAAAAAGGTGTTACTGTCAGGTTGAGTTCATTCATCAGCATAACATTAAAGACAACAAGGAACCATTTGGTCCATCAATGGAATAACAAGGCTCTCCCTGTACACTCATAACAAACACAAACGAAAAAGGGACTAATCAATCCTTCAAGGCAGTCCTTGCATAAACATCAACTTATTAAGAAAAGACAAAATTTAAACCTACCCTTACTTTTCAAAAAGTTATCAATTCCCCTTATAATCTCCTGTAATGTGCTGGCCTCCACTATTGCTGATGACAACTCATTATATATCTTTTATACGTATATCTGGCTTAAACTCAATATTGTTAAATCTTAACAGTTATTAATAGCACAGCTAACTCTAGATAGCTCAATACTACTACAACAGTACAACTTACAAATACAAGTACTACCACTGCAATAAGTTACAGTAAAACTAAAAGCATAATTGCTTTTTCACAAATTTTATCATCGTATTGATTTCTAGCCGTAGTACAAATGATATTAATTTTAATGATTCATGTATGTTCAACTTCAACTAGAAGTTTGATGGAAATGAATAAAAACCCTATACCCAAGCGCTCTGGTTATGGGGGTTTTATTCATTAATTTTAATAAGTTATTGTTTGTTTGAAGTTAAACTTTAAGACTTTTGTCATCTTTAACTTTCTAGGAAGTTTCTTGGGAAAACACTAATTAAATTATATTCAATATAAATCAATTGTAAGTTCATACTGATAGTCCGACCATTTCTAATACTATTACTTACTATGTACTATTATTATAATTTGTACTGTATTCTGAAGACAGTACACTGAAAAGTACTATCAATAACGTACAGTCACCGAATCTATCAGTATCACGATCAGTTATTGTTATTGCAAAGTTGAGCATACTTTACGTCGTAGTTAAACTTAATGGCCTCACCCACAGTCTGAACTCTTTACTTAAATTTAAAATCTAAATCTACATGCAGACATTTTAAACATGCTTAAATTCCTCTAACCATGCTTTTGAGTTTTATATATATATATATATATAGAACATCAATACATTTCTCACCTATGTTTAATAACAATATAATATATACGGTAGAACACACGTTACACAGTTCACTTTTGCCTACCACATTCGAACATACATAGTCCGTCACAGCTGAAATGAACACTTATGACGTTGCATAAAACTTCTGCTGTGGACTGATAAAAGGTTTGTTCTAAATGGACAGATTGCAGCATGAGTTTACTTGATTGGTTTACCTGTATGGTAGAGGGCCAGACATATATTGTGTGAAATACTTTAATATGACATAACGTGATTTTTTGAATATCGGCGTATCAGGCTGAAAACAGCTGGGGAACATAGGAAATTTGAAGTTCTTTGAAGTTAAGCACAAAGCTACACAATGGGCTATTTGTGTCAGTTTTCGTGAAAAACTGAAACGTTAAGTGTCTAATTGAAGAAAAAACTAGGTGTTATTAGGTTGTTTATAAATAGTACTAAAATATTTTATACTCCAATACGCATTACATAAATTAAACAATGAGTTTTCAAACGTCGCAGTGCAGCGTCGCTCAACCTAACACACACTCATTAAACTCGTAAAAATTACAGCTCAAATTGATTTCCTGATAAGTATTGCCATTATAAGATTATTCATAAAAAGTACACGGAAACATTTCAAATTAAAATTTCATATGAAATCACACATAAGGTTAGTTACATCTTTCTCTTCTATTGTGAATGACTTAATAACAACATTATTTGCAATTTGTTTGTTTGTGCAAAAAAAAAAGCTACATTGGGCTAGCTGCTTTGTCTACAGCGGACAATCGAACACCGGATTTTAGCGTTCTAAGTCCGTAAACTTATCGCTCTTTCACTAGAGACATTATTTAGAAAGAACAAACATCTAAAAGAAATTCGATAAAACCAAATAACTTTAAATACCTCCCAAGATAATGAGTTTCTTCATTTGGCTCACGAATATTATCTTACTAGAGCGGAAGTCACGTGACGCTGGAAGCATGCGCGCTGGAGTTTCTCGATGGATCAAGAATTATCTGGGAGGCCCGAATTTTATCTACAACTAAATGTTGAAGTTTTTCATTTGCATAAGTTTAGGTTTAAACTGAATAATAATTTATAGAGATTTGAGACTATGATGAGCAATAGATAATATGCGTCGGCGACTTTTTTCCTACCCATCCCTACATACTGTTACGACAACGCAGGTCACGTGACGCTGATAACACGTCATTGACTTCTAGAAATATCCTGTTCCTTCATGAATACTCTA